TCGGTGTTTACAAATGAAACCTTGTCGAACAATATACGTAATTCTGATGACGGCTTTATTTTGGTTATTTTTATTTAAAGGAAAATATCTCATTATTTCCCCTTGGCCTATATCATAGGCTAACGTAAAACAAATGAAACAGAGGCCTTCGGGATAAATACTCTACATAGTTTTGGCATGTAGGGATAACGATGATGCCTATTACTTGATACAGATTACGTTGTAGTTGGTGGAATATAATAAGGTAAATGTGATGCAAAGTCGTTACCATTGCGACACAAAGGTGAACTCATGTTATGATATCTCCTAATACTAATCAATAACAAAAATCATCGATTATTTCCTGATAAACGAGTGAAAGTGCGAAAGATTCACTAAACCTGAGAAGTATATTAAAGAGCGAATATCTCTGAAAATTGCACGCCTTCTTAATCATGCTACGACTACTTCATAAGTATCCTTTACAACTTTCGTGCTCTAGATCGTTTAGCATATCTACGTAGGTGGAGCTCGTGTCCAGATGTCATTGTCACCTACTCATTAGTCTTTTTAACAGCTTCACCTCTAGTTGAACAGAATATAAATATATCTTGTAAAGTAGAGCCTTTAGATCTTGGTGTCAGCTTTTCGATGAGAGAAACTGTTGGTAAATATTTAAAACGATAGTCGCGAGGGATTTTTTGAAATTACGTTTTCACAGGAAAAAAAATTTTAGCCTCAGAACAGCTGCATTTTACATGAACCGAAGTCAGTCGCTGCTTAATAGAGTGTATGTATTTGAAAATAATTCAGTAATGTGAAACTTCCGCAGTCCCATCCAAAGTATTTAAACATAAAAACCCCCGTGCAGGCTTGTTTTCTACTATCGGAAGTAGTCGAATTTCCGTTGGTCAGTTTTAATTCTTTTCATTGTGTAGTTATATTGACCCACAAAAAGAATGCGTATCTGGAAAACAAATTCATTTTGCGCCACGTAAGTACGTCAAAAATATATGCTAGAATAAAAGTTAGTATAACAAGGCTACCCCAAAACTATTTAAGGATAAATTTCATGGTCTTGGGTCTAGTTTTCGGAATTTTTTTCCTGGAATAAACTTATGCTCCTTATTTCACAAAAAAAAAAACACCTTCTATGAAATTGTGAACGAAAATCTTGCAATATTTATGTATCATTAGTAGGACAGAAGGGGTGCACTATGATACACAACCAATCAAAGAAAGGGTATTTTGTAACAATAATTAGTTGGTTCGAATTGGTCGAAAATTTGAACAATGATTTTTCGATGGGCCAATACGATAGCATGCGTGTGATCCTACGAAAATTATTTCAGAAGAAGCTAAATTATATATTGTGGTTATATTTTGAGACATGTAAGGTCATCATGGCCAATTATCATACCTTCGGCGCCGAAGGAGAAAAAGTGTTTTTACTGCATGTATCATGAATATTTTGTTTGTTTTAAACATACGCATACATGACTGTAAATATATAAAAAAACATATAATTATGTGAGCTAAATTTTAAGAAAGGGATATGGAAGCGATCCTCGCAGTTATGAACACTACTTAAGTGGTAGTGAATATAAGGCCTGTAAAAAATTCAGGCCCGTTCAGGATTTGATAACTCATGAACTCTGCGATACCGTAAAGCGCTGCACTGGTATCGCAGAGGTCATGGGTTCAAATCCCGTACGGGCCTGAATTTTTTTCAGGCCTTATTTTCACTGCCACTGAAGTAGAGTTCATAAGTGCGAGTATCATATCCATATAACATACGCATACAGTTAATGCAAAACGCTGTAGTAGTAGTTGTAATTATTTGGGATGCCCGGTAGAAACAACCTAATTGGTTGTTATGCTTGTGGAATCAGTTTCACTTTTGTGGCAAATAACAAATGTCTAAGTTTTGTGATCCAACATGACAAGACATTGCTGTTTTGTTTCGTTTCTTTGGAAAATTGTCTGATCAGTTAACCCAACTGCATTGCCTTTGGATATCTCTGACTTTTCATAACCAGATTCATACAATTGTTACAAAATTTCACTGTAAAAGTTGATCATTAAAGGAAGTCTTTCACTTATTTTTCAATGTATCTGTTCACGTGTTGTTTTTTTGATAAAGTGCCTCCCTTTACAAAAGATCTTATGTGATAGTGTTATCTTGTACTATACTCAAATGCTATGAGTATAGAGTTTCATGGCCAATGCAATGGTCACGCACATTTTGAATCTACTCGAATCAACGTTCACACTTTTTCAATCTAATTAAATCTTCCATAACCCGTAATAAGGAAGAAAAGGGAGTGATATTTTCTTTCTTTGCAAAGGAACAAGCTGTGCAACATTAGGAATACCTAGATGGAAACGAATGCGGACCCTATTCTGATAACTATTGGAGGAATGAAAAATCTACCTTACCGGGGTTGGGGTGGGGGGGGCATTTTCAGAATATCAGTGATCACCGATCAGGTTTTGTATCAAACTTGCCGGTTGTTTTCCATCCAAGCTGCTGTGGTTTGACTAGAATTTCAAAAAAAGGCGTAATAACATAAAAAGATTATAGGGGTTGAATTCCTGTAGTTTATTGCAACCTTCACTTTAAAAAATCAAATATGAGAGGGGTACAACGAGCTCTTTGGTGGATTCAGATATCAATATCAGTGATTGCTTTAAAAAAAAAACCAGATCTTTGGTACTAAATGGACATGAAACCTTTTTTCTCCTGAGAAAGCGAATCTATCGTTCGAAAAGTCAAGCTATCATCTTTAAATCGCGCTCCTACGACAGCTTTACTGCTTTTCTTCATCATAACATTACGTTGAATAGTCACCCATGGCTATTAGTGTGGTATAGTGAACCGCTTTCGGGGCGTTTGTAGCGTGCTTCTGTTGGTTTATTCATGTTTGATAAGTTGATGTTGTTCTCCTACAGATCTACTTTATTTCTTGCTGGCTACTCTGCTTTTAAGTTGCAGGTATCCATGCCTCAGGTATCTCAATTCCACTGTATCTCTTGATTTTATTTGCTTAAACCACCAAGTTATCAGAAAAGGAAACTCACACCGATAGCAGCTAATCACAATACTAAATAAAAAAGCTACAGTGAACTTACACATATTTCAGTACAGATCTGGGATACTTTTTCCATTTTACCTTCATTTTGTATGACTGTGTATGCAGCGACTTGCATGATTGTGCTGCAGCGAAAGGAGTGTAGTCAGGGGCAGATATAAGGAAGGGATACAGGGGGTGCACATCTACCTCCCGATCCCCCTGAGAGGATCTGCGGCTTTTTATATAACTAGAATTGTGCAAAATAATAATAAAAAAAGTAATGATAAAATCAAAATAAAATTGTGTGTATTATTGGCGTTGAAGTAAAACACGAGGTTAGAAAATTTATGTTAAATGCGGTGAAAATGGTAGGTTCCCCACTGACTTTTCGAGCATCAGCCCTTGTGTTTCGTTAGAGATGTCAGTTAAGTGATTCCTTTGTGGTACACCCACAAAGAAAAATCCTAGATCCTACGAAAAATGCTGAGAAAAATCCTACGAAAAATCCTAGATCCGCAGCTGGGAATGATTAGTTTGTTAATCAGTTTGTTTGTTTACTTGCTAATGTTTATTTTCCTATTTTGAACTCTGTGTATATACTTTTTCTCCTTTTGTTTTTGTGGTAATGAATGACTACACATATACTAATTATGACCCTTTGACGTATTACTTAAGCTCAAATATTTCAACCCTCAAACATGGCCAAACAGAGTGTTACAGGATAAAACCGAACGTATCTGGCCTTGAAGTCATTTCTAAGTAAATGCTTCACGATACTGGTCTGGTCTGAGTTTCCAGTGAAGACCTGGAATAAAGCAAACAAAATAAGCAGTTAAGCAAGGAAGTGCTGAAAGGAGGGGGAGGGGAGGTGCAGGGGCCATTTAAACAGGTCTTAACAGCTCACATCTTTCGCGCAATTTTGTTTTCTATTGCGTTGCGGCCCGGCCTTTCTAAACGGAGTTAATTTTTCCGTCACTTTTTTCACCTTTTTTCCAATTTTTAATGGATTTTTTATTACTCATCCTCTGATAGCCAGAAGTAGACAGTCAAAGTGACACGATGTTTTTCTTTATTAAGCTGCAAGACGGTTATTGTTGAGTCTTGATTCGTTCTATTTCGTCCTGTAATTTGGACGAAGTTTGATAATTAGTTGCTTCGAAATTATTGCGAAGTTAAATAATGATTCTTCGATGGGCCGATACGATATCATGTGTGTGATCCCACGAAAATTGTTTCAAAAAATGCTAAATTTTGTGTGGTGATTCTACTTTCAGACATTTAAGATTATCATGGTCAATTACCATACCAGATTCGAATCTAAATTCTGTATGTACCCCTGCAGCACTGGAGGAAAAAGAGTGCTTTTAATTCCACAGTATCATGAATATTTTGTTGGTTTAATTTGTTCGAATTTTGAGAACAGTGCTCAATTCCTAAGACTAACTACGCGCAGGAAGAAAACATTCGCATACATTACCGTAAATATATGAAAATCATATACATGAACTGTGGTTAAAGAAACGAATATGGAAGCGATCCTCGCAGTTATGAACGCCACTTAAGTAGTAGTGAAGATAAGGCCTGAAAAAAATTCAGGCTCGTACGGGATTTGAATCCATGATCTCTGCGATACCGCACGGCGCTGCACCGGTATCAACTCAATTCAAATCCCGTAGGGACGAAAATGTTTTTCGGGCCTTATTTTCACTACTTCTTAAGTAGTGTTCATAATTGCGAGGGTCGCTTCCATATATATACGCATACAATTAATGCTAGGCGCTGTAGGAGTAATTGCGATTATCTGGGATACTCAGCAGAGCGTGAAGGAACCCAATTGGTTGTTATGCTTATGGAATCAGTTTAACTTCTGTGAAAAATAATTCATGTCTACTATTAATTTGTGTAATCCAACGTGACACGACAGTCATGAGATATAATTTTAATAGAAATGAAAAATATATATTTATTTATTTAAGGTTTACATTACTGTTTTGTGTCGTTTCTTTGGAAAATTGGCTAATCTTTTAACACAACAGCATTACCTCTGGATATCTCTGACAAGGGATAGAGTTTTCCCCGCTTGATTTTCTTGTGATATATACCTGGATATCGTAAAATTCCCCGAATATTCTTGACAAATTGGCAAAGTAAAAATAATAATACATGAACCGAGAAAATGAGATTACAAATCGATGAAAATCACATTAATTGGTTATCTAAGCTTCCTTGTCCGAGAGATTGAGGAATGTGCGCTTTTCGTCAAGTCAAAGTCATATCTTCATATAACCCCTGTGTAAGGTTCTGATTGGTCTCGGCTTCTCAGTAATGGTTCATTCTCGCCAGATTCTGGGCTTTCATCTTGTTCTTCATCAGATGCTTGATCCTCCTGTAGAATAATAGAGCGCTTTACGATCGAATATCGTAAAATCAAAACCAAAGTAATCACAAAGGCCCATTTTAGCCCTAAAGACCAAAAAGTACCAGAGTACGACAAAAAGGCCCACACGCGGCAAAACGCGGGCGACCATGCAATTGGTTTGTGTTTTGCATCTGACGGGTTGAGAGAATATCGTGAGTTTTCTGCACCAATCAAAGAGCGAAGCAAAGTAAGGTCTCCTAACAACCGAATACTCAAAATCTCTCCGAGCGGGGAGCTAAGATCGACGATCCCTGCGTATTAATTACAGAGTAATTCAGAATTATTTTGAAATTCTTAAGGTAACAAGGATTTCATGAGATAACCGATAGTGATTCCTTCTTGTTATTGTCCCTTGAAACAAAGTATCACCATAACTCCTTTAATCGAAATAATCGTACTTTTCTTGTTACCTGCGGAGACTCAGGCTTGGGCATCAATGGAGGAATAATCAATAGCTCATTATAAAGAGCTGTGCCGAGCATCAAAAAGAGGAATCCATCAACTACAAAAAAAAAGAACCATTTTCAAAGAAAAAACAATCAATATGTTGTATTGGCACAATCCTCAGTTTGCAGCAAAGTATTGCAAAAACAATCGGAAAAAGCCCTTTATTAGTCTTAAACACATCGTTTTATTTCGAGTACCAAACATGTTAAAGTTTCGACATTTCGGGCAATTTGATGGTTCAGAAAACAGTTTCTTCTTTATAATAAGACCTTATGTTGTTAGGGGGCTGGAGAAACTCCAAGAAAGTAATAGTAAACAAGAATGAAGCGAGAATGGTGGAGAATTGAGGAGATTTACACGGACAAATGACTGAATCTTTCTCAAGACACACAAAATGTGGTATAACAGAAACCCTATTTTTACCTTGAAAGATACCATATCTTTTGTCCCAAGCCTCGCCAAAACTCTAGAAAAAAAATAAATAAATAAAATAAAACGCAAATTAGTCAAATTTTGAAACAAAACTTTGCCGGCAAAAGGATACCTAAAAAATAAATTAAAGTAAGGTCTTTTATTGAGAGGAAATAGCTTGCACGATCCAGCATCACTTGGCAGATTTCCCAAATGAAATAGACTTGCCTGAATTTCACTCTAAGCGGTCGAGGGTAGGCTATGTAGGAAAAAATTCTTTCATAGTAAGAAATACGCAGAGGGGATATAAAATAACACAGAAGAAAAAGGGATATGTAAAATTACATGTACCTACTGCAACATGAATCAAACATCATTCACGCCTAAAACATGTTGTATAACCCAGTTCTTGGAAATATAAGACAGAAGTCACAAGGTATTCATATTTGGTGTAATCTGATCACCTCATCAAAAACATAGTGAATGAAGAGGTCCACAAGCCAGACCACAATAGTTCTGCATGCATCTATTAATGTCCTGTGAACCGCTAAAAAAAATAAATACGTTTTAATGCGTTCACAAAAATAGGGGCTTTGGTGAGAATTTTCAACACATGAAACTCCATTAAGATATTTCTCTTTACTAAGGCTTAACTTCCTTTCCTATTCGTGTGTTCATTTGGAATGTACCACACAGGTGAATGATGCTTTATAAGAGCACTGATTGGTTAGTTCGGAAGGGATTAACTATTCTCCTCCCGCAGCGGGCGAACTGAGACAAAATGGCGCGTCAGCGTCGGTGAAAGGGGTGGATATATTCATCACTATACATCACTTCAGTGAATAACTGTTGTAGAGTTTATTATAAATAAGGAAATATTTTTAAATTTTTACCTGTTAGAGACTTTGTGACTGACAGTCCAAAGAAATTGTAAAATGAAATAGAGCAGATGTATATGACTGCAAAAGACAAGATTCAGAAATAGCTGTCAAATGCATATACACTGATATGCAGCGCATAGACCTCTTTCATAAATGGCGAGCGCAATTGCTATTCTTTTATATTCATGTTATACACGACAACATGTCTAACAAACAATTATTTGCATGCACATGACCGCCACTACAAAAGAGATTTATCTTTTAAACTTAACAACAATAGACTAAATCAAAACTTCCTGACATTTTCATTCTAGTATGAAGTGAACATAGCCTTGCTACTGATCCTAAATGGGAACTTTGTCCATCACATAAGAACTCCTTCCCATGATAGAAGACTAAGCTATCATTTAGTTTCAGAGTACCATGATAACTATATAGTGTTCACATTGAGTGTCTTAAACAAAAACTGGTCACCACAACAGTCAATTAAGGTGACGCAAAATATCACACGAAACATTGCTTTGTGATTAAACGCGTGTTCAAATAGTGATAATTTTTTTTCTTGGCATCTGATTGGTTAAGAGGCACGGTAGCGTGAGTTTTCTAGAAACAATCAAAGAGTCAAGGAAAATCTAAACAAACTTGGATTACTTTTGACACTCGGTTGAAAATGACTCAAAGGGCCCGTTTCTCGAAGGTATGACTGAAAGGGCAAGTACGTTCTTTAGATATCCTCACACTTGAGCAAACCAGAATGAATGCCGTACCCAAAAGAATTTCATTCAGACAAAGGACTTTTCATACCTGACATTATCAACAATTTAGCATTATTCTTGATCATCAGCAGTGCATCAAGGCTGTTTTCATAGCTGTGGTGATTTTGTTCTCCTGGAATATAATACAGCACAGGAAGGACTATCTGTAACAAGAACAAGAGAAGAACATAATGGCAAATAAACTATTAAACGCCTCTGACTTTTTCAAAGGTGGGTATAATTTTTTAGCTCCAACAGATGCATGGGAAAAGAGCGACGACACTATATTACGTCACAGGAAAGCAACCAGGCCGCGAAGCAAGGTCCAAAATGGCGGCCTCCAACGTCGAATTTTTAGCACAATTCATAAACAAAGGTTAGGTTACTTGATGGAATGTCCAAACACAATCATTACTGACAATTAATTCAAGCAAACTTCAAATGGCTAAGATAAAAAATAATAATAATAAAAAAAAAATAAATAAAAAATTGGTTTGTGGAGCATACTGCTATTTTGGAGGTAAAAATTGCTTGTTAAGTAAAGCGGTCTGACTTGTTCCGCAAGGATTTAGCATTCTGTTAATATGTTCCAACGTACAGAGAGTTTTCATTTCCAGTTGCGTGATGGTGCTTTATAAAAACAGCAACTAAAAGAGAATAGATAGTTGTTTCACTTCATTCCCCAAGGAAGTTTGCCGGTAAACCCCGCCTAACAAACGAGAGTCGTTTAACACAATGACTTACATTAGTCCAGTATGATGCTCAGATATAAAATAAAAACGGTAAGCTTACAATAGAAGAGAAAAAAATATGGAATGAAATTTGATATAAGCAACGCAATTTGTCACACTCACAATAGCCATGAAAATGACTCCAAAGAAGCCTTCCATTCCAACCACCTTTATCAAACAGAAACGAAGAACTAATTATTGTTTTGGCAGAAGACTTCACCAGAGCATGTAACCTTTCTGTACCTAGCATGTTTCAGTAACTTCATATCATTCAAAACATTGTTCCATTCATTCCTTGAATGGGCAGTTCTAAAAGCTTTTTTTTGACTCCACAATAACTAAAATTATTTATGAAATAACATGTGCTTAGTAATCAAAAATTAATTTTGCTCTCGCATTCACTTGTAGCTAGAACCAAATCAGTTTACCTAAATCAGTTTACCTACTTTCGACAGTTGCGTTTCGTTCCCCTTAAGCAACAAATAAGACAGGAATACTTTTGAGGCCAATAAAATTGTTTCATTTGTTGATGACTTGGATAACGATTTACGTAGTGGCTCAATATCATATCTCGTTCTTAGGTTTTCTTTTGTGAATCCTACAAAGTTAACCTGCAAAGGATGGAAGTTCTTTTTCTTCAGGAATAATTCTTCTACTATCATTTGGGTAGCGCTGACACTTTGACCCGCCAAGATCAAAACAATTCCTGTTCAAAAAAATTAACTTAGTTAAAAAAAAAGACAAAACAAACAAAAACTTTTTAAATATAAATATATATATATATATATATAATTCAACGTGAGTAAAATTTCTATAGTCAAGATTGGGTTAAACTGGCCAGCTTGAAGTAGAGAAACGAATGCCTAAGAAAGATCCTCTGTCTGTGTGCACAACTGGTCACTTAACATAGGATATTTTATTTTTGAAAATCAAACAAAGTGGTAACAGCAACTGTCATGGAATCTTCAACACTCCTGACAGCTTCTCCAACAACAAAAAAAGAAAACAGGATTACCTTTGACTGGATGGAACAAACATGACCTTTTTTTTTAAAGATGAACTTTTTAGTACAGTGCAATGAATCTATATTTGATTGTGCAATGTAAGATTGTGCATCATTTTATTACCAAAGACAACTTGTCCCTGAGAGGCTCCTTGGTGGTTGTCCCTGAGAACACTTGATAATCCAACAAGTACTAAACCAAGCTGCCAATTCCAAAATAAACAAATAACCTACAACTTATATAAAGATTCCATATAACCATCTACCATAAAATTTTGTAACCAAGGTTTGAAAGAAATCTACACCTCTCATTCTAAACTAACTTTTGTCAGTATTTTGTGTGCAACAATACCAGTTCACTTCTAGGTGCAACAATGATGAACAAGTCAGGCACTCCTAGCAGAGGCACACAGGTGGACCCTTGGTGAAGCCAAACCTTTTTTGTTTCAGTGATGTTACAGGATATCTTAGAACAAGCTCAGCAAAAGTCATGCATTTCTACACTATCTATTTGCTCTGTTCCTATCATTTGATTAAAAATATCATTGAGGTATATCTCTCACCATGGTAACAATCATTCCAATCCAGTGAATTGGCCACAACTTTCTCTTGAGGAAGATTTTCTACAAAAAAATCAGACAAAGGTAATGTTTGCATGAGAGATGAAGCAGCAACCACAAATGGCTAGCATTCTGGTCTGGTCATTGTGTTGTTTTCTTAAGTAAGGTGATGTCCTCTCATAGTGTCTTTGTAGTCCACCCAAGAGTGTAAATGGAGACCAAAGAACTGTAAGGTCATTGTGTTGTGCTCTTGGGCAAGATGATGTATTTTCACATAGTCAGCCTAGTCCACCCAGGAGTAAAGATGGTCACCAAAGAACTGTCAAGGAAGCCTGACAAAAGATGCTTAAGAGTGTAAATGGGTACCAAAGGACTTTAAGGTCATTGTGTTGTGTTCTTGAGCAAGATGATATATTCTCTCAGAGTCTTCTTAGTCCATCTGGGAGTAAAGATGGTTAATTACCAATAAGAAAGAACTGTCATGGAAGCCTGGCAGAAGATGCTTGAGAAGGAGGGGGGGTTATTCTGCTGTGGATTAGCATCCTATTCCGTTCTTAAACCATTATTGGTTCGCACACCTCCCTACATGTTTATTCTTTCCCACACCCTGTCAAAAGCTCTGTTTCTAGGATACATGAAAGGGTTAAGGTTTAAAATGTAAACTGGACCATACTCACAGATAGCACACCAGTGAATATTATTATTGAACCTCTGAGCATTTGCCACACTGATGCATTGACATAAAGAAGACCAATTCCTAAAATCAGAAAGAAAAAATCAGATTTAATGTTTCTATTTTTTCCTAAAAATATAAATTTAACCAATTTAACTGAATGAGTCCATTTTCACTTGTTTTTCTGCTCTAAAACTCACCACCCAAAGTGGTTCCAAACAGATCACAAACAGTAGGAAATGCAAAAATCCACTGGAACACTCTGTAAGTAAAATATTAGTATGACTGTGATTTTGAGTGATAGACACAAATCATTTGCATGAGTACAAAGCAGATTTTGAACAGCCAGAAACAAACATGCTCTGGAATCAACAAAACCAAATTTCACATTCAAATATCAAAAGAAATGAACCAAGAATTCTACAGTGAGCAATTATTTGGCAATTGGTTTCTCACAGCCAAGCATTTTGTCATTGACAGCACAAGCCAATGGCAGATGAAGCAAAGTCAACTTGAAGATCATTGTATCCTACCTTGGTTGTTGAGCCATTTCTACACAAGATCCTTCATTACTTTGGTCTCTATTGACATTCAGTAAATTCTGATTTCAAAAACAACAAAAAAATTATAAAAAAAAACAAAAGAAAATAGAAAAAATGATGAGAAATGAGATTCAAAGTAAAAAAAAAATCACTCAAAACTAACTACACCTCCTTTACATAGTGAATGACTTGTACATAATTCCGTAACACTTTTTTTTTTAAGTCTTAAATGATGGTATGACTGTGCCTCCTTCACCTTATTGATAGTCTGGCAGTCATGGTTTATAAAAATTGACCAAGAGTGAACCTTGCTAGCTGAATAAATAACTTTCAGGAGCCCTGTTTTTTTGTTTATCAACCAGTCAGCCAGTCAGTGAGTCAGTCAATCACTACATCAGTCAGTCAGTCAGCTAATCAGTCTATAAGTTTGACAGTAATTCACTTACAAGTAATTTGTAAGTCAGTCAGTCCAACTTTTTGACATACCTGAGGTGTAGAGTATTTAATTCATGAATGCATTAAAAGTTAGATAGGAAAAACTTAAACAGAGAAATAAAGATGTTATTTGAGACATTTAACAGGTGACTTGATCATTCTCCACAAACCTGTGTTAATTTCCGTCTTTCTCTTCTTCTATGAATGCACAAACCAATCAGACACATGGTTTCCCCTTGCAATTAAATCAATTAAGTGTGGATTAGAAAAATGAATATAGATATTTTTAACAAAATATGAATTTGAAAACAAAGCAAAAATCTTTAAGATCGTCTTTATTAGATTACAGCCTTACCAATAAACATTAGACCTGTTTGAAACCATGGATGGTCAAATTTGTGAACTTCATTGCCGTGTTCGTCTTCCAATCCCTTAGCTCTAGAAAAATCAAATTAAATAAAATTGAGAATAGGTTTAGAGCTCATTCTTTTGTTTTCATTTTTGTTTGTATTTTTTTTTCTAATTTTTCCAAAGAGTAGGGTGATCAGAGGATGGAACATGAAACAATTTCAATCATGAGGATGACCTCAGCATCTTCATTCTTTGGAGTGGACATGTTTAGTCTCGTAACAGCAACACTGCTGATCAGAATCACGATTTACAGTCATGAGAATAAAGGAAATTATCTCTAAATTATAGACACCATCGATTAATTAACAAATTCTCCCTGTCAGTGCCATAGGAATGTGTAAAGAACACTGAGGAAAAATAGATGCATACAGGCATATGGGTATATGGAAGTCAAAAACCTTTAGGAACGATGCAGTCACCAAGTGAGTCTAACCTTCCAACCGGTCACATCTTATCGTTGTGATCTTCCGACATTGGGAAACAAATAGGTTTGAATTTGGCAGGAATATGCTAATAAATTTGATTGAACGGAAAAAAAGTACTCCTGAAAACTCACTCAATTCGAATTTCCGACTTTCTGCGTGTGTAAAGCAGCAAAAATCCTAAAATGATAATTCCTTAATTCTCGATCTGTTTAAGCCTGTATCCGCAGAGCTTCGTAAAGGTCGATCAAATGGATACCTACGTGCAGTCATTTTGTGCTTTCTTTGACAGTGTGTTTATAGATCCTGAAATAAGCATCCCGATAGCCAACAGAATCTGCGTGCAGGTCAAGGTAGCCATTCTGATTTCCTCCCCTGGGCTGTAGACATAGTCTGGGTTCAAGTATAGCGTTGGGGGAAGGGCAGGGGAGTGTCTATTAGAGACCAGTCACGCTCGCTCCCTTCCGTAATAGTTTGTCTTTGATCATGTTCGGCGACCCGAGAAATAATCTCTCGTTCCCCCTACTTTAAATACGCATTTAAAGCTTAGGGTCATCAAAGTCGTGGAAAAGGCACTCACCACTCAGAAAATACGTCTATAAAGTAGGTTCAAGTGGCGATGACAGATGCGAAATTTCCACAGAGTTTTTAACAATAAACTTTCTAATGAGCAGACCATCACAGGTAGTTTCCATTCGACAAAGAATTAACACAAGAATGGTTCTATAGAGAATCGTAGAAATAATAATGTAAAAAATTCCATGTTTTAACACGGGAGCCCGGTTAGCTCAGTCGGTAGAGCATCAGACTTTTAATCTGAGGGTCAGGGGTTCAAGTCCCCTATCGGGCGACGGAGTACTCTTTTTTAATTTTTTCTTGTACCAATTGATTTTGTTTTCTTTCTGTTTCGCTTTTCCTTTTACCTTTTAATTTTTCATATATGTCATAATATTGCAAAGATAGGACTTTTAATCCTCCCCTCTTAACGGAAAAATCATCTAAAAATTGCCTTTTTCGAGAACCTGGCTGGAAATTCAATCTTTTTACATATAGGTTAATAACTTCATTCTTGATGTCGTTCATTTTCATTAACTTACATACTTTTTTTTTTTTTTACTCGATTTCATCAGATTTGCAGGAAAAAAATTGTTTGAAACGGAAATAAAATTCGAAGAAAGAAGACAGCTGGAATTTCTTATTGCTCTAATTAAAAGCGGCGCAGCTGATTGGCTATTCTAATGAGCATTGACCAATTAGAAACGTGAATAACAATAATTCTGTATATGAGCAACTTCTCCGCCATCTTGGCATTTACATTTTCTTGAAAAGAACATCATGGCTTCAAGTCCTGTCAGAGATAGTGAAGATGATGACTATATGAGAAAACTAGAGACCATTAGAGATATAAGGTAACGAATCATCTCTTTTTAAAGTCGATGTCTGCAAATTTTTTCCTCGATCTGTACTTTTCTGTAACAATTTTGGAAAGGTTTGAAATTTCCTTTCTTAGCATTCATCAAATGACTCTTCAATTGAAACCATCGATAGTTTCGTTTTGTTAAATGTGTTAAACGCCCTAAATTGTACCAGCATGAGTTTTAAACATCCTGGGCTTAATTTAATAAACGTTTTCGTCACCATTTGCTTTTAAATATTTGGTGTATAGTTTTGGAAATCGGGTGCACGCAACAGCGAGAAATTTCTCAAAAATAATAATTTATGCTGCACCGAAAAAGTATTATTGCATTTTGACGCTATTGTTCGGTTGAAACGTTTCAGCTGTTGATCATAAATGAAATAAATCCATCATTTTGGAATGGGCAATCTATCTTCCACCTCGAAATCCTACTGAAGAGTTTTCAAAACTATCAACCTTTTTTTTTATCTTTTGAAAGGGCCACTGGCCTTTTACGAGGCAATCAATGAGCGTGAATCCTCCCTTCCTTCTTTTGTGCTTTAAGGACAAAGAAATATGATCGCTTTATTTTTTTTTGTTTAAGAGTCATATTTCTTTGTTTCTGGCAAAATACATATTCCTCTGTTCCTGATGCCATACTCAAATGCAGCCTAGCAATGGCCATCAGGCAGATCGATCTTTTTTTTCATTTTTATTTCAAATGGATCACAAGTTTGAGTTATGAGTACCATTAAAATCTCTCTTATTCTTGTGAGGTTAGTGCAGCTTTTTAGCGTCACATTTTTCATTTAAAATATTAACAGTAAAACCATAAAAATTTGAAATACAGCCAAACCTTGTGATCAAGGATTTTAGACTGCTATCTTTTCATATTTTCCGATGTTTTTGGACAGTTTATGTGAATGCCAGATAAACCTGTAAAGTTTTCCATATACTCATGTGTTAAATTTATCAAGTACAGTAGGAAGGATTTCAATGTTTGTTAGGATATTTGTTGGTTGAAGAAATGGCATCTGTTATCATGATGAGGTTTCTTTGTTGTGTTTAAATATTACCCAAATTTGTACACAAAAGCTCTCTGAATCTTAGGCTGAGTACATATAACTTGAACTTGCCTTTTCACCAGACACTGTGTTGCAAAAAAACATGCTTGATTTCTGTGAAAGTTAAATCAGATTCTTTCTCACCATGAAGGTTTTTTTATTGACAACAATTGTACCAGTGAATAATCAATATTTTATGTTATCTGTTAGCACCCCTTTTGTAATGAAACCTCTGTTTTGAAATTCTTAGAAAATACCCTCTATCTAGTTGGTTGTGTATTGATGACCATGAATCCAGAAAAGGAAATACCATACATGTACAGATGTGCAATAAGGCAAATACCTAGAATTTACTCTAGGCTTTCCTCTTCCATGCCTGCAATTAAAGGCTGGAGTAAATAAAACAATACAAGAAAAACAGTGTTTTAAAATTGGCTTCACTTACCATGTGGCTTCATAACTCAGTTGACCATAGCACCAAAGTAGTATCTGGGAGGCATGGGTTGGAATCTTGTGAAAGCCATTAATTTTCAGGGTTTTTTTCTGCAATAGCTAAAATTGTGTCAACCTGCTTGGATCATTTCTTTGTGTTTGAAAAACTGTTCTATCAAATCTTGATTGCAGGGTGAAGACATCCCAATTGGAAAAACTAAAATCTCAGCTTATTCATGAGTTAGATGTAGCAGAGAAGGAAAGTAAACTACTTAAGGACTATAAGGGAGAAATGGAAGCTCTCCTACATGAGAAAATGGCGCATGTAGAGGAACTTAGACTTATCCATGCTGACATCAATTTGGTAAGTTAAAAGATCTGTGGAACATGCCATATGGATAGATTTCTGTTATTTATACTGCATTCTGCAAGAGACTCATTGATGAATTACAAACCAATCTCTTTAGAATGTGGCAAGAATGCCTACTCTACCATGCCCGTGTGAGGGAAATTCACATTTGTGTTACTTCTCACTTGCTCCGGCTGATCTAGAAACACTTGTCCCTTGTTAAATCACTTATATGATACACAGGCCATTGCCCACACAGGCTAAGCTCCTCATTGTAAATGTGCAAGATCTTGTCATGTAACTTTCCTTTGCCTCCCTTTTTTTGTTCATAGTAACAGACTTTTCTCTTTTTTTTCTTCTTCTTCTTCTTTCCTTCTCCTTTCTTGTCCTAATGCAAGGATTGCCTATTTATTCATTTTTTAATCCCAGTTCACAAATATGATTTTCATAAATTCACAGTCATTTATTCATCTCCTCATGGGTTTATTACAAACCAACATGATGACCAGCTCTTAGTTGGATTGTTAGCTCGGTTGGTGGAGCACTGCACCAGTATCTCAGAGGTCATGGGTTCAAATCTTGCATGTACAAGATTAGTTTCATTTTCAATTCTTCAAATTCACAGTTCACATATATGATTCTCATATATTCACAATAAGTATGAAGTACTGTATGTTGGGTTTTTTTTAGGATATTTTCCAATTAACCTGAAATGCAAACTCTTTCAGTGTACAAAATGGTGTCATTGGGTCATTGTCATTATGTTGTGTCTTAAGGTGCCTCAGTTATGTGAACAATGTTTAGAATTTTTTGGCAAATCTGGTTTTGATTGTTTTTGTTATTTTTTGTTTTGTTTATTTTTTTTGCAAAATATTAATTTATGTAACTTTCTGGTATATAAATGTCTACAAATGAAGATTTCTTGTCTCTACTTATTTTCTGTTAGGTCTTGTGTTTTCAGCTTGTTGTTTTGAGACTTACAAAATACTGGCCTCTTTTTTTTTTCTTTTTTTTTCTTTTTTTTTAACTTGTCTTTTTTTTTTTAAATAGTTAGCTAATTAAGGATGGAAACTATACCTTTCTTGGAGTGATGTTTTACTAAGCTTGTCTAGAAATGAATTTGGGGAAAATTTTATCTTAGTTTCTACTCCTATCTTGTAGATGGAAAATACCATCAAACAGTCTGAAGCTGAGAGGGAAAGAGGGCTTGACACTCTGAGAAGACTACATGACGAATACAAACCCCTTAAGAGAGAGGTTGACAAAATGAGGGGTTCTTTGGGTCTTGACAAAATAGCTAACCTGGATGAAGAAAACAGCCTTGCAGAGTAAGTGGGTTGTCATTTAGTTGAAGATAAGCTTATTAGCAGTTTTAAACATATGATCCCTAAAGAGTGACTAGCAGACTACATGTAATTTCTCCTTACAATGTCACCCCTGAATCATGCATTAAGGTCATGGGATTAAACAAAATTATCGGCAACTAAGGAGGTTCTTGATTGTTGAATAAATTCTCCTTGTCAGCTTCTTTGGAACTGTTAAGAGAAGAGTATGGAGAATGCATACTGATATTAGGATGTAAAGGGTTAGTAATGGTAGAATCTACTCAAAATACTTTGTACATAGAATGAAAGTTTTTTATACGCCACTGTTAGCTAGTGATGCTGCGCTAGCCATCACAAGCTTAACATTTTTGTTAAGTCAACAAAACCGCACATTGTTCATGTACGTGTATTGTACGCAAAAATTGACAGTTTCACAACTGGTAAGGGTTGTGGATGGGCCAAGGGCTTGGCAGTTCAAGGTGTAGCCTTTCAAACGAATGTATTGATGGGAAAGGGTCAGCAGTGGTATAGACATTAAGAGAAACAATGGGCAAAATAGCATTACTCCCAACGTGGTTACTTTGGCCACGTGAATTGTAACACGGCTTCAAAAAGTAACAGGCGTGAAGCATGTAATATCCCTAGACATCAAATTAGCGAGGGTTTCATGTACGCTTGTTTGGTTTGGTTTGAGAATTAAAATCATGCATTATGCTACAGTTTATGAGTGGCAGTGCTTAGAGCTTATTTTATGTCGAGAAAAAATAACTATGATCATGTTCATACTTATGATTTATTAGTGCTAATC